GAGATCACACGAGTGGCACCCCGACTTGAATTGTGCCCCAAGCGGGTTTACTAACGTCTCTCTCTCTCTCTCTCTCTCTCACACACACACTCTCACTATCCGCCTTTTTATCTTCCTCGGACTGTAATTTTCTCCGTTAGCAGAGAGAGAGGACTGGGCGTAGTAGGCGCCTCATTGAAGGGAGGGGAGGTCCCAAACCTGTCACTTCTGCAAGGCTCAGATTCACTTTAAGAAGAGGAAAAAAGGGTGAGAAAAAATTTAAAAAAATAGCAAAAAAAATAACGGTGAGGAGAAAAAAAAACGGGAAGAAAAGGGGCAAACCGAGTAATAAAGACCATAACTTCAACCACCCCCGTTCCTTCTTCACCTGGCCTGGTTTTGTGGTTTAGTCTGGCTGAGGGCAAATGCTTGAGTCTGCTGAAACTGAGATTGCACTGGAGGACACGTGGACGGATGCGAAAAACGCCTGTGTTGACTGGGCTGATCCCGAAGACGTTCTGTGCAATGGCTGGACATTTCTGCGCATCATGGGCTTTCACCCCGCCTTGTCCAAGTATGCGGACACCCACGTAGAGGAAAAGGAACTTTGGCGGAATATTTTTATGGATCCCTCCCGTACGGAGGAGCAGAAGGAGGCGCTGCAGTGGTGGCTTCAAAATGATCTGCTGCTGCTTCGCGAGGAGCGTTGGTGCCGGCACTGCAGAAGTCAAGGGCACACTCGACGGAATTGCGATCAGCTGTGTCTGGGTGCAGGCACGGAGAGAGACGTCAATGGCATTGTTGGTGGACATGGGACGCTGGGGCGAAGTCGCATCATGTCACGCTTCGTCGCCCACCAGGCGGAGATTGAGCGTTGCAAGCTTTTGCAAGAGAAGCAGTTGAAGGGGTCCTCTGCCTGCTTTCTTGGAAGGAGAAACGGCGCGGAAGGGGCACAGCAGAGGCGTGGGGGCAATAACCAATTTATGCGCCCCAAGCCAAAGAAGGAGCTTCTGCTCTTTGCGGAGGAGCGACGTCACGGGGCCGTGGGACGCATCGATACGAATTACGGCATCGGCTTCATACGGGTTCCCGGGGTGGGTGACGTGAAGTTTTTCATGGATCGTGTGGACTATGGTGTCAAGGAGATTGCCGTTGGTGATGCCGTGACACTCAAGATCGATCACAGCCGAGAGTACCCACTTGCCGTTGATATTCGACCTGAACGGCCCAACATCACGCTGGAGGATACGCAAAAGTTCCTGCAGCGCTGCAAAGTCGCGACGCAGCCCATAGATGTCATCAAGGCTATTATGACGCACACGCATGAGTGGCATGTCGTTTTGGGCCTGCTGCTTGGCATGCCGGCAGCCGCCTTCGTCGACGCGGTGCATACGCTTGTGGAGCTCACCACCTTTGTTGGCAACCGAGAACCCATTCATATCCCGTTGCTTGAGTCGTTCCTTGCGTTGATGCTGCGCACCTCAAAGAAGGCGGACGTCGCCCCTTTTTTCCCCACAATGCTGCTCGATGCGCTCGTGAAGAGTGGGGAGCTCAAGCTTGAGGAAGAGATGCCAATGATGGTGGAGCGCTGGATGGAAGTGGTGAACCTTATCCTGCTCCTCCGGCACTACACGGGTGCCACCGCCGACCTCACTGGGGAGGTGGAGGCGACGCTGACATCACTGCTGACGGCAAGCCACGCCGCCGCCGCCGCCGCCGCCGCCGCCGCCGCCGCCGCCGCCTCCTCCTCCTCCTCCTGCTGCGTGGCAGCAAAAACAACGGCGCCAGGAGGTGGTGTGCCAGTAGTGGTAGCAGCAGCCAGAAGGAGGAAAATAGAGGCCGCTCTACGGCGTTTGCGGTGCCAGCAGTGGGAGGAGGTGGCAACCCTGCTCATTCCCACCGCCGAGGAATTTGCCGTCCCTCCGCCAGACCCCCACTCTGTTTTCACGCCCAAGAACCTCCCTGTGAATGGTGCGACGGAGTATGACTCCACGGAGACCTTTATCACGGATCAGTGTCGTCTCCTACGCGCTGACACCTTTGAGTCGGTGAGTCGCCTTCTTCCTGCAGTAAGTTATACACTCCCGCACTACAAGCCTACGGCCGAAACTGAGGCGGAGATTCCATACGCGCGGGTGTTCGACAGAGTTCGCTTCATGGGTCGTGTGTTGACGCGGGACAAGGACTACGCCTCACCCGACAGCTACATCTTATACGTGCAGCCGAAGAGTGCAATGGCAGACGTTTCCGCACAACTTCTCCCCGGCACCACGGTGTGCATTACGACGAGTCTCGACCGCAGTGTCATTTCCGCAGGTGAAATTTTCTGGGGCCTTGTGACCTCGTGTAACGCACAATTTTTGGCTGGGGGTTTGATCGTCGTGGCGCCCTGTGAGTCGAGCGTCGGGTTTGATACTTTAATTGAAAATCTGAAGCGCAACGAACGACTTGGCAAGACCGATCACTCCTGCATCCTGATGACGTCCATCTTCATGATAGGCTACAAAAGTATCATGAAGGCGTTGAGTGCTTTTCTTGGTCCGCTTGCGATGCCGCTTCCTCTGGCTTCCACTTTGGTGAGCGCCGAGGCTGCCGCAAAGGCGCCTGCGTCGGCCAAGGCAAACCTCAGAAGCCCGGGGGATCTTGTCTCCTACGTTCCGCCCCACTGCGAGTCTTCCTTCTTGGAACTTATTGATACGGTTAACGATCGCTTTGCGCTTGACGCGGGCCAGGAGGAGGTGATGCGCTGCCTTCCTACCTCCGACGTTCTGCTGGTGCAGGGACCACCAGGTACAGGCAAGTCATTTATCGGGTGCCGTGTGGTGGAGGTGTACATTCGCTACAAGCAACTGGTGGCTTCGGGAGACATCCTTCGTTCCATTGACGTGGATCAGCTTCGCTCTACCTCGGCCGAGGACATGTTGCCCAAAGTTGGACCTATTGTTATCATCACATACAAGAACCACGCCCTGGATGAATTCCTCGCGGACTTGCTGCGGAGTGGATTGTGGGAAGATGAGAGACCCCGCATTGCTCAACAGCTCATTGGGGGGGCTTTCAAGGGCGCCTCCGACCTTTTTCCACGTGGCAAGCGTATTGTGCGCATCGGTGGTCGCTCCCGAGAGTCTATGCTGGACGCCTACAATCTTGGCACCTTGCTCCGAACAAAGACGGACAAGACGGCGCTCAACAGCCTCAAGGAGCGTTTGTTTCTCATGACTCAGCGACTAGAGCGGCTGCTCAAGGAAATTCACTACTTGGAATCTGGGCGGGTGCCCAAGTCCCTTTTTGAGAGGTGGCTCACAGAGGAGCAGCGGAAGTCGTTGCGCTACGAGGACCGCGACGAGTGGCTGCAGGGGAAGCAGTACGTCGGCACCTCCACCCGCACCGCGGAGCGGACGCTCTTCCTTGACCTCCTTCGAACGCAGCTGTCGGCGTGCCTGGACGCGGTGCAGCGGCGTTCCACGGCCGCCGCCGCGGCTTCTGGGACCGCCGAGGCGGACGAAGACGGCGGCGCACCGCTTAGCGTCTTTCAGGAGATGCGCCGGGAAGAGGAGAGCCGCGACTTTAACGACGCACTTCCCACAACGTACCTCTCCGCTGAGGCGATGGAACTGGCGCGGCATCCGCCCAAGTGCCCCGAAGGTGTGCCAGAGGAACTGCTTTCACTCTGGAGCCTTGATCCTGTGCTTCGTCATGAGTACTACGCCTTTCTTATCCGCGACTGCATCTCCGCCAAGGCACGAGACTGCCAGTTGATTATGGACGCCATCCTGAATGTCGTGACAATACGCAACCATGCCATGGATGAGGTGAAGTTGGAGCTGCTTCAGGGAGCAGACGTGGTTGGACTCACAACTACTGGTTGTGCTAAAAATCAAAATCTGTTACGCTCGCTGCGTCCAAGTGTGCTGGTGGTGGAAGAGGCTGCCGAGGTTCTCGAGTCACAGCTACTTGCATGTATGACCGATTCTCTGCAACAGGTTGTGCTTGTTGGCGACCACTACCAATTGCAGCCGAAGGTCGAGACGTTTGTCTATGAGAAAGTCAATAAGCTTAACATGTCTCTCTTTGAACGCCTCGCGAGACGCATTCGACCCATTTGTCTGACGGAGCAACGTCGCATGCATCCGCTCATCTCGCGGCTGGTGCGGCCTTTTTACCAGACGCAGGCCTTGCTGGACAATGAGGGTCTCCTCACCCGACCCTTCATCTCGGCTACTGGTGTGAAGTACATTGACCGCCTACCAGGCTTGGCAAAGCGCGTCTTTTTCTGGCGTCACGGTCACCCAGAGGAGGAGCCGTCGGGCAGCCGCAGCAAGGTCAACGTTAAGGAGGTGGAGATGGTGAGCAAGCTTGTGGCGCACCTGACGTCAGAGGGGGTGCATCAGAAGTCCATCACGGTAATAACCCCGTACCTCGGTCAGTGTCGGATGCTTCGCACCTCACTGCGCCTACGCGCCTTCAGCGAAGTTGCCGTGAGCACGGTGGATCTTTTTCAGGGGGATGAGAACGACGTCGTGATTCTCTCCCTGGTGCGAACGGAACGTCTAACGGAGTTTTTGCGGATGCGAAACCGCATGATCGTCTCCTGCAGTCGTGCACGCTTTGCGATGGTCATGGTTGGCAGCGACGCTCTTCTGCAGCACTCGGAGCACTGGAAACAGGTTCTGGCCATGCTACAGCAAGATAATTGTGTGGGTGATCGACTGCCCATCACTTACCGTGCATCTCCTGAAGAAATTGTTTGGATGGATGCCTAGAGCAACGACGAAGAAGGCGCTTTCTCACTCTCTTTCTCTCTCACTGTCTCGCTTGCGCCTGGATGGGTGGGTGGATGCATTGGGTTAAATGGGGAACTGCCATTTTTTTTCTTTTTTTTTTCTTTACGCTTAAAGGGCTCCTCTGCTGAGGTTGTTGTGGAGGGAAGTGAAGTCTTTGGTGGTGTTGCTCCCAAGGCTGGATCCTCAACGAGAAAAAAAAAACTTGCATGCACAGCCACGTATTTCTGCTTCTTAACGCTGCACGCGTAGGCCCACGGATCTGCCTGCACACCCTCCTTACGCAAGAGAGGGGAGGCTCGTCTTTGTTCCTTCTTGTAAATTACTACTATTATTATTATCTTCTTTTTTTTTCCTCTTTTCTTGCGGCCCCGCGTCGTGGTGGCCTGCCGCCTTGGGTTCTTGAAATAAGGGGAGGAAAGAGAGATATAGCGCGTGCGTGTGTGTCGTTGCCCCTTATTTTGTCCTCCCCTTTCCTGGGGCTGGGAATTGGTGGCACGCGGGACCGCGCCGCGGTTAGCACCCACCGGTGGAAGTTGTGGCCCATGCACCTCCTCGCGGCGACGGTGGGATATCTCTGCTTCCTCCTACGTGGCACTTTAGCGGCGTTGGTGGACTTCTACATTATGTGCGTCCGCGTTGGATGCGTGTGGAAGCGAAGATGCGACCGCCAACCATCGATGGAGCGGCGCGATCTTGTCATGCAGCTGGCGCCGCAGTCGCCGCAGCACAGCCGCCTCAGCTCGTCAGACATGATCTTGGCGCTTAATGAGTCCTTCCTGGATCGAGCGCTCTGGATGGGACTGGGCTCCGGCCGGGAACAGCCCACCGCCATTGTCACGGGAGTCTCGTACGGAGGGATAGGCTTCTATGTTGCGCTCAACCTCGTTTTATGTGGCTTTAACGTGCATGGCGTCTGTCGCACCCTCAAATCTGTGCGCCACGCGGGACGGATGATGCAGTTTGCCGTGGAGCGGCAGTGCAGGCTACATAAGGAGTGGGTGGGGAAGACGGGACGCCTTGTCACGCACGTGTGTGACATGAGTGACACCGTTGCGGTGAGCAACCTCTGTTCTGTACTCGTACGTGATGCGAACATTCGCGTGGTTGTCTGTGCTGCGGGTTGCATGGCGACGCCGCCTCGCCTCTCACCGCAGCGGTTGGAAGAGCAGTTCGCGACACAGCACCTGGGTCACAGCTTATTGATGCTTAGGCTGCTGCAGCACCGCATTCAGCAGCTGAACTTGTACACCTCAGCCCAACCGCATTGGCGCTTTGTCGTCGTTTCGTGCGCCTTCCCTTGGGGCACAGACCCCACGCAGGGGGATATGTTTTACACCTACGGAGACGATGAGGAAGCCGAGTTCTGCTCCAAATTTAACCGCTACGACGGCTGGAGTCGGGCAGAGAGGTGTAGACTTTTGTTTGCCCTGGCACTGAGTCGGTACGTCGAGCAAGACCGTCGGCTTGCCCCCTTCTGCACGGTCAACGCGCTCCACCCCGGCCCCACCCGCAGCCGCCTGCTTACCAACAGCCGGCTTCCGCTCGCGGGTTTCCTCGACAGTGGCATCGGCGCCCTGCTGCGCCTCTCCCCAGCGATCACCGCGCTGTACGTCACGGACGTTTGCCTCAGCAAACGTCTAGACGCCACGAACGGGCACTTTTTTCGCATGGGCGATGATCAGACGGCGGCTTTTGCCGCACTGCAGAAGGCTGCCGAGGCGAGGGCGGGGTTTTGGGCCAACGCGCCATTTTTCACCGGGATGCCGGCGCCAGCCGCCTCCATGTCAACCTGCAAGCAGAACGCAGTGTGGCGCTTCACCCTCTCCTACCTCGCCTCGCATGCACTGCTGGATGCGAAGATTTTTCGCCAATACGGAGACGCCAAGCTCAGATAACGCGAGCATCATACTCAATAGCAGGCAAAAGGAAGAAGAAATGGTGATAATAAAAAAAAGAAGAGGTCCAGCCTTCTTCTGGATGACATTTTTTCTTCTCTTTTTTTTTTTCTCTTTTTTGCGGAGGGAAGGGGGTGATTTGTGTATGTTTCCTTTTCGTTGCTGTTGTTGCTCGCCTCCGTCGGTGTGTCGCGAATGGCATTCCTCTTCCCCTCCACCTCGACCCAACAAATGGCTGCACTCTGCCTGACGCCTTGCGTCTTCCACCCACTCCCATGCAGGCAGAGAGACATACGCCTTCCTTCCTTTCTTCTTACTTTAGTTGTTGTTGTTGTTGTTGTTCCACGCGTCGGGGTCTGATAGGCAGCCCGCCTTGGACTGTGTACATTTCTTGCAGCTGTAGTTTGCTCTCTATTATCGCTTGACACGGCAGCCTCACTGCACCGGTGCTGGAGCGCAGCTGAGGCATGTTTCTGGGGGCGGCGGATGCACCCACGCGATATGTGAGCAACTTCTCCGGGAACGAGGCCCGACGCATACGGGTCGGCAAAAGTGTCACGTCGTCGTACCGCCAAATATCCGACGCCATCCGCGGCTCGCGCCCCTACGACCGCATCGAAGTGGAGAGCGGGAGGTACTTTGAGGCGCTGACCATCAGTCACCCCCTCGAGCTCTGTAGCGCCAAGGACGGAGAACCGCCGGTGATTGTTTCCCGGGGGCCGTGCTTGAAAATCATCACGGATGGACCGGTCCTCGTGGAGAATTTGTGTATTGTGGCAAAAGGGACAAAAACCTCCGATAGTCAAGGCATAGTAATTGAAAGCGGCAGCCCACTCATTCAGGACTGTGAAATCTCCTCCGTGTACGTTTCCCACGATGCCACCCCGCGCATCTCCCATTGCCACATCTGCAACTCAGACCACGGGTGTGGTTTGTCCCTCACCGGCAGCAGCGGCGGCGTCTACGTGAGTAATGATATCAGCTACCACAACGAGCAGTGTGTGTACATCAACACGAATGGAAAACCCGATATGCGGCAAAACTGTATCGCACAAAAGCAGGGGCAAAAGAATGTGGCGGTGCTAATTAGCGCTCGACTGTGTAATCAATGCGAGCCTGTCTTTTGCGAGAATATCATTCGGGGTGGTGGGGAGACGGCGAACCAGGAGGAAGTGGATCCCGCCTCGGTGCACTTTCCCCAGATGTTGTACGAGGAAAACTCAGCTGGATGGGCATCGCTGGTGGGTGTTATGAATGGGGCAACGCCTTTTCTTACGGGAAATCTGCTTTGCAACGGTGTCACAGGGTTTTACTTCAAGGACTGCAAGCTGCCAAAGGAGCGTCTTTGCAACAACCGCATTATTGGCTGCTCCGCGTGGGGGATGGTCGTTGGAGAAAGGGCCTCACTGGTTGCCTTGAAAAATGACGTTCAGATGTGTGGCGGTGGCATCTTTGTCTCTTCCACGGCTGTCTGCCAAGTCACTGCCGAGAAGTCCTACACTGTCGCGCTGCAACAGTGTGAGTTGTACAGAAATGTTCACTACGGCATCCTTGTGGATCACGCTGCCATTGAGGTCAGCGGGTGCAGTATCGCGGAGAGTTCCGTCGGCATTACCCTGCTTGGAAACTGTGCGGCCAGCACCATCAGAAGGAACACGTTAACAGGCAACCGCGTAGCCGCCTTCTCTGTACTGCGCCGTGGCAGCGTCGTCATTGATGACAATGTCATACACGGGTGCAAAAGTGGCATGTACGGAGTTTTTCTGCAAGAGAGCTCGAATGCGACGCTGCGATCGACGCTCATTGATGGAACTTCTACCAGTGTTTTCTTGCGACAGGGAAGTTGCATCGTGGCAGAGAAGAACGCCCTGCGGGAGTCCTCTGTGCACCATGTAGTTCTCACAGGACGCAGCAAGGCGAGTTTGCGTGACAACACCATTGAGGGCAGCGCCTGCGCCTCCGTGGTGGTGACAAGTCATAGTGAGTGTACGGCGCTTGAGAATGTCATGTACTCCGGCGCAAGTGAAGGGGTTTTGGTGGAAGATGGAGGATGCGCCACGTTTGAACGTAACAGTATGAGCTCCTTCGGGGAAACGATGTATGTAAAGGCAGGTGGCTCCCTGCAGGCGAAAGGAAACGACATCACACTTGGTCAACATGGGGTGATTGTGGAGGGAAAGGAGAGCAGCGCTGTTGTTAGTAATAATTGTTTCCGCGACTTGACTGCCATGGCGGTGTACGCGATTGACCACGCCAACGTCATGGTTGATGGAAACACCATGGATGACTTTTCCGCGGTTGCCATTCAAATTGGCTCGGGCGCCACAGCCGTCATTGAAAAGAACAAATTCAGAAATGGTAGCGCCGGCGCCATTCACGTGGATGGCACCGGGACGCAGTGCAAAGTAATCCGCTGCTACATCGAGGGATTTGCTTACGGGGTGCAGTTCACGCGAGGTTCCAGCGGCGTTGTTGACGAGAATGAGATTCGCCTCTGTAAAGGTTTTGGGGTGGCATGCAACTCGAGCGAGGCCGTCGCCGTGCAGGCTAACACCATCGCGGCTGTCAAAACGGGAATCGAACTTCTCTCGACTGGAGATATCCATGGCAACGTCATTGAGGAGAGTGAGGTGGGGATCTGTGCCCGCACCGGTGCCACAGCGCAGGTGCGAGACCATCGTATCGTCAACTGCACTGTGGGACTGTGTATGATGAGTGATACACATGCAAACTTTACATCCATTAAAATTCTAAAACCAAAGCAATTTGGCGTGGTGGTCAACGGCCCAACTGCTAGCGTGACGCTGAGCCTTGTTACCGTCAAGGACTCTGGGGTGGCTGGCGTGCTCGTGCAAAACGGGGGCGTGTGTCGCTTTGAGCACTGCGTCATCAAGGGCAGCAATGAGGATGGCATCCGGATGGAGCAGGCAGGTGCGGTGGTGTTTGAGCAGTGCTGCATCTCGGAACAGTGCCGAGGCGTGAAGGCTGTCGGTGCACCGGCACTGGTGGGGGACGCAGGCGAGCCAAGGTTTATTAACTGCACCATTGATGGAAGCCTTTGCGAGGTGGGCGTGCTAAGTGCGAGGCAGAGCATCGTACGCCTTGAGTTGTGCAAAGTCAGTGCTTGCGCTCCAGGGTGTGGACGTGGTGTCGTCGTGCGGGAAGGCGGGGCGGTGTTTCTCTCGCGCTGCGACGTCTCGGGGTGTCCTTGTGTCGGCGTGACAGCCTCCGCCACGTCGCGCTTACTGGTGGAGCACTCAAACATCGATGCCTGCGGCACGGGCGTCTGCTTCAGCCCGGAGCAGGACAGGCCAGCCTCACAGCATAGTCGTCGCGGGACATCTAGTCAAAGAGCCGCCACCGCGAACACGGCAAGCAATACTCTCACCATGAGCAATGACACTACATTGGCGTCACCGACGCTCTCTCAGGTGACTATCCGGGGATGTGCGGAGGCCGGTATCTTGTTTGAAGCCTGTGGCTCTGGCGTCGTAAACTGCACGACGGTCGTAGAATGTGGCCAGGGAATTCTTCTGCAGCGCGGGACCGTCGCGACGATCGATTCAACCGTCGTGCGCGGCTCTCTGCGATGCGGTGTCCTGCTGCTTGGCCGGCCTTCGGGCAACTCGGTGCTCACCCACTTGACCATTACTGATTCGGGCGACTGCGGCCTAAAGGTGGACAGTGCCGTTGACGCGGACGACGCGGAGGCGACCGGAGGAGCGGAGCAGGATGAGCAGAAAATGTTCCCGACCTTCAAAAATTCCGAGGTGCTGCAAAATGCAAAGGGTGGAGCTGTGTTGGAGGCGTGTGTGCGTTTTGAAGGGTGCACATTTGCCCGCAACGCCGCAGTGGGGGTGCTCTGCAGCGGAAAAACTCGTCCGCTGCTGTCAGCCTGCCACTTGACGCACAATGCGGAGACAAACCTCGAGGCCCAGGCCGGCTCCATGCCGGAGTTGCAGGATTGCATCGTGGAGCATGCCCCGGTTGGGGTGCGTGCGAGGTCCGTCGTGAAGCTGACCCGATGCGTCGTGCAGCACCTCAGCCTCGCTGTTGACTTTTTTATTTGTGGGACGCCTTCTGACTTTTCACGGCTCTCAGCGTGTGTCTTTGCAAACAATGAGACCGGGGTCTCCTGCGCCGGCGAGGTCTGTGACGAGACGCGGAGCCAAATCCTGCTCGAGGGATGCGTCTTCCACGGTGGCGCAGATACCGGCGTCCATGTCTACAAGGGCCCCAAGACGCTACTAAAGGCCTGCAGCTTTGAAACGTCTCGGGAGGGTGTAAAGGCCTCGGAGGCGGCTGTGGCGGCCATTGAGGAGTGCGACTTCAAGGAAAATGCGAGGGCGATTACCGTCTCCGATGCGGCGTGTGTGGAAGTGAAGGCCTCCACCTTTGCCGCCCAGAGCCAGTACGCGATAAGCGTCGACGGTGACGGCGGGGAGGTACACATTGCTGGCAACTGCTTCAATGGAAACGCCTCTCAGGGTGTCTTTATTTCTGCCAAGGGAACCGTCGTTTTGGTGCACGGCAACACATTCGCGGCGGACACCTGCGGCATCTTTCTGGAACGGACCTCCCAGGTCTTCGTCTACAACAACTGCTTCCACGCTTGTCAGACAGGCATCGTGCTCCACGGTGCAGGGCTCTGCGGAAATGTGTTTGGCAACACTTTTGAAAAAAATCGATGTGGCTGCCGCTGCGAGGAAAACGCCTCTGCATATTTGTGGCGCAATGCGTTTAAGGAAAGTAGTGAGTACGGGTTGCTTGTGACGGCGGGGGCAGCCCCAATTGTTGTTGATAGCTCATTTTTGCATCATACTGCCTCCGGTAGCGTTGCTCTATGCGTTCGCGGCGGTGGGATTGGGCACTTCGCCTTTAATCGGTACTGTGGCAACGCGTGCGGGGTGCAGTTGGAGGGCACCGGCGGGACTGCTACCGTTAACAGTAGCACCTTTGAGGGGAATGGTGTCGCCATACAAATAAATGAAGGAACCGCGGCACATGTTGTCGCCTGTACTTTTGGGTCTAGTGCGTCAAGTGACATTTTCGCCTCCGGCGCAATCGAGCACGACCAATGCGTTTTGGCCTACAACTCCTTTGCCTCCACGCGCTCTACCGCTGTTACGATGGAGGAAGGCGTTGGGGTTACGCTTTACCGCTGTATCTTTCTCGGAACGGAAGGCACCGGCGTCGTGCAGGGCCGCTCTGGAAAGGGCCTTGTACTCGAATGCCTCTTCTACGAGCTAGCCTGCGGTGTGCGGGTGGCGGTGGGTGGCAATGGCACGGTTAGCAACAGCTACTTTATCCGTTGCGCCACGGCAGTGGAGGTGTGCCAGCTCGGCTGTGGTCATTTTAACTTGTGCTCCTTCGTTGCTCGCCCAACCGGCTCCCCGGCGCTTGTGTCTGCCCACCACGCCTCCACCCCGGCGTTCCGCCAGTGCAGCTTCGTTGGGGGGTCGAAGATGCTGCAGCCGCTCCTGCAGTCCGGCGGCGGTGGGCTCGTGGAAGGCTCGTCCTTCCTTGCCGGCGACCTCGCCGTCCTTCTGGAGGGCGGCTGTCAAATGCTGCTGCGACAGAACACCTTTCTCCGGGGCGTCATTGGCGTGCGGTTCAACCCCCGCTCGCTGGGGCACGTGGTGCAAAACACCTTTTACCGCCACCAGTTGGCCGCGGTGAACATCATGGACAACGCCGCGGGCGAACTGAAGAGGAACTTGTTCGCGCAGCCACCGGAAAGCGGCGGCATGCTGGTGGGGCTGCACAACGTCAATTTAGAGGCGAACAAGTTTCTTGACAAACTTCCGTCACGGGAAGCGAAGGAGACCGCTGACGGCGTGAGCCTGGAGCCCAACCTCATCGCCGCATTCGCCGAGCTCCTTGCGGCGGCACCGCAGTGGGCGAGACACGGCATGGGCGAGACCCCGCACGTCTCCGCGCTGCCGTCGCCCATCTTGGCGGCGATGAGTGCTCCGGAGAAGAGGCACGATGCCGAAGAAACGCAGGCCGAGACTGAGGGAGAAGACGCGATCAAGAAAACAACGGAGGCGGATGCCACACGGAAAGGGAAGGGTCGCCCGAAAAAAAAGCGTGTCGAAAGCTCTAAAACTAAAAGTATGAAATCGGTGGATGCTTTCAGCTTCCCTCTGAGCGGCACCATCGTTTCTGTGCCAGAAGTCGTTCAGGAGACACTTGCAAGGTGGGTGGAGGCGCACGACGTTGCACTAAAAGTGGGGGAAATTGAACGCCCCGCTTTGCCAGAGCCACCGACGCAAACGTGTGACACTGCGATGTTACGAGACGTCACGACGCACTTGTCTGCGGTCGCGGAGGCGCAGCGTGCCAAGGACCGAGGGGACGTTGCAGGGACTGCGCCGGGCGATGCCAGAGGAGCCGTCGCGCGCAAGCGGAGCTCGGAGGACAGTCGACCTCCACCTGTGGCCGAGAGGCAAGCAGCCACGCAGGTGGATTCCAGGACGGCAACCGATGCGAAATCTTCGGCTCCTGCGAGGAAACTGCAGTCTGCAGAGGCTGCTCCCTGCCCTCGTCTTGGCTCCGCGGTTGAGGTGCCGAAGGACTCTCGGGCAACAAAACAGGTAAAGCGGAAGCGGAAGCGACGCCTAAGTTTTCCCCCACCATTGAAAAGCTCTAGCCCGAACTCGCAACCAACCCGTCAGCCTATCGGTGGGACGGTAGTGACACTCGCAGGTTGCCTTCATGCGTGCGCTGTGACGGGTCATCGCAAGCCTAAGCGGGAGGGGGCATGCACGCAAACCTCGGTGGGTGCCGCTTTTCTGCGGGGGCTGGAGGTGTCCCAAGAGGAGGAGGAACCGTGCTCTACTTTGTCCGCTGGGAGTGTCCAGGAGCACCGCTGTGAAACTGCGCGTACCTCCTCAGTGGAGGTTGAGAATGTATCCAGGCCCGAAGTAGAAGAGTTGCCTTTGCTGTGGCGTGACGGGGGGATGCTTTCACAGGTGAGTGTGCTGCCTTCGCCAAGGAGTACGACACGAGACACGCACGTGCTGAGTCAGTCGAGCGTCCGTGAAGGAGCGCCGAAACGCCGTGAGGGGGATGCGGCTTCTCGCGATGACGCGAGTTGGAAGGAGAAGGTGTCGGCGTCCAGCAGGAGTCACTCGCAACCTCCCTGGGTTAGGGAAAGTATGACCTCCTCTAGGGATATGTCAAGAAGCAGGGTCGGCGAGGAACCTAAAATGGACACTACGGGAAGTAAAAGTGCCCTGCTGAGAAGCGGCCTCGCGACGGGGGAGGCGCCTGATGGGCAAGGTGCAAGCAACGGGAGTTTGTCCAGCCCTCGCGGCCTTGTCGCAGAGGAGCGCGCCCGTCAGAGTCGGAATAGCGCCAGCGCCGTGCCGGACGCCCAACGGGGAAGCGGTGACGACGCCGGGCAACCGATCGACGCGTCAAATTCGGGGAAAGAAGGCCCTTGTCACATACTGCAGCAGAAGGGCCACGAAGACGAAGCAGTTGCCGCCGAAGAAGCAGTTGCCGCCGAAGAAGCAGTTGCCGCCGAAGGAGCGGTTGCTGACGAAGCGGAACTGCGGGGCACAGTGGAACGGAAGAAGCCCACAAAACCGGACTCCAGAAGGGCCGCAAAGACAGGTCGGAAGCGGAAGGCAACGCCATCGCCCTCAGAGAGCAATACAGGGAGCCTAAGTGCTGCATTGGCCGAGAAGTCTGAGAGCGGTTTGCCACACGGAAGCGCCCACGCTCATGCGGGGACGCGGGATCCGGTGGCCTCCGTCTTATTTTGTGCATTCTCCACCAGGGTCAGCGGGCCACAGTGGAGGCAC